GAGTTCTAGTTATGAGGAGACACTGTTTTCACTGGAAAGACAGAGGCTGAGATGGCAACCTGATAGAGTTCTTCAAAATTACGAGAGGCATAGATAGGGTGGATAGTCAGAGGCTTTTCCCCAGGGTAGAAAGAGGGCACAGGTTCAAGGTGAGAGGGGGAAAATTTTTCACACACAGGATGGTGGGTGGCTCGAATGCACTGCCAGTGGAGGTGGTGGAATTGGGTATGTTAGCAACATTTAAGGTGTATCTTGATAGACACACGAATGGGAGGCAAACAGAGGGATAGAAATCACACATGGACAATATTAGCTGGTCTAAACAAGGATTAGAATCGGCGCAGGTGTGGTGGGCTGAATGGCCTGTACCTGTGCTGTATTGAATTATATTGTATACAAAGTTCCCCACCCCCCTGCTGTCAATTTGTAGCCTAACGTACTGATATTTTTCTGAATTATACTTCTGTCAACACTGAAACCCTCCTTCATCATCCTAGGATGTGCTCTGTCTCAGTAACACAATTAGCCCAACAGAGGTGGCACCAGAATATTATACTTTTGGAAGGAAGTGGTTCTGAAAATCCATCATGTTGATGCCAGACCTGCAAAAGTCTCAGGAGATAATGTCAAACATGGGCTAGAAAAGTTCCTGCTGATTTACCACCTTTTGGCCCTGTCAAGTAATGAATCAACACTCCTCCTAGCTGAGGATCACTTGGAAGCTTTGAATATATCAAGGACATGGAATGTAGTTTATCAGTGAACCATTCCAGGAAGTGGGCACCCACTGATTGAACTGTTCAAGTCTGAAGAACACCGCTGCAATACCAGGCATAACTGTGGTTCGAGAACAAAGGGCCAGAAAAACCCAGTCTATTTTTTTGAAGATACATCTGTGCATGGCAAGTGGTTGAAGTGACCACAGGACAGGTCTTTTGAGACAAAGCCCTGTCTAGGCACAAGGTATGCCTTGTGTAACGTCACTGCGAAATAGGAAGATTCTGAAAAAATCTTGCAGTAGTATTGTATTCCACTGTATCTGTGAACTTATTCCAGTTACTCCAGCCATGAATAATAGTGAACAATTAAACATTGCAATGGTGGACGTGATACCATGGATGTGGCATCCTTAACGGTAGTGGAGCCCAGTATGTGAGAGACGAGACTGATGCTAGCAACCATCTTGATCCAGAATATTGTAGATCACCCATCTGTTTGTTATGAAATTTCAGAAACCTTGAATATTTGTGCGCACAAATGCCAGGCAGTGATCATCAATATGAGGAAATCTGACCATCATCCCTTGAAATTCACAGGTGCTACCTTTGTCGAATACCCCACTATCAACATCCTAGGGATTACCATTGACCAGAAGCTGAACTGGATGAGCCATATGAATACTGTAGCTACAAAAACAGGGCAGAATCTAGGAATCCTGCAGCAAGTAACTCTCTTGACTGCCCAAAGTCTGTTCACCAACCAAAGAACACAATCTTGGAGTGTGATGAAGTAACCCCCACTTGCCTGGACATTTGCAGTCCCATTAATACTCAAGAAGCTTGACACTATGCAGGACACATCAGTCCACTTGATTGGTACCAACTTCCACAAATATTCACTGCTTCCCACTCATGCAAAGTTAGAGAAGTATATACCATATATAAGATGCATTGCAGAAGTTCACTGAGGCTCCTTGGCAAGTACCTTCCAAAACCACAACACCTACCATCTGGAAGGACCAGGGTTGCTGATACATAGGAACACCATCATCTGCAAGTTCCTGTCAAGTCACTCACTATCCTGACTTGGAAATATATACTGTTCCTTCATTGTAGCCAGTTCAAAATCCAGGAACCTCCTCCCTAATGGCATTGTGAGTCTACTCGCACCAAATGGATTGCAGTCATTCAATAAGTAAGCACATTGCCACCTTCTGAAGGGGAACAAGGGATGAACAATAAATGCTGGCCCAACCAGAGAAGGGCACATCCCTGAATGAATTCAAGGTCTTTAAAATGATGTACTTGGTTTCCTGATATGATATGGAGTGAACTAGATACAGTAAAAGTTATAAATGTTGTTAATATCCTGGTTGTAATGCTGGAATCCTATATTTCAGAAAATTCAGCTTTCCTAGTGAAGCTGTTAAATTACAGCTGCCTGATAAATTGGAAATTAACCAGGTATGTCCAATCCACAAAAAGGAGCACAAATGAAATCCAACTTATCAATTCTATCAGTCTACTTTCTATGGTTGGCAAAATGAAGGAAGTTGGCATTGGCAGTACTATCTGTTGGCATTTTCTGACTGAGTCTGCCTTTTGCTCAGTTTGTGTTCTGTCAGGTCCACACTGTTTCAGAACTCATTCACAAAAGCACTTCATGCCAGAAGTGAAGTGAGAATGCTTCCCTTTCACATCAAGGCAGCAGACAATAGTCTGGCACAAGGAGGGCTTGTAAAACCAGTCAGTTCGGTCAGGAGAATCTCTTGAGCAGTTAGTGTTATATTTAACACCAAAGGAGGATGGTTGTTATTAGAAGCCAATGATCTCAACCACAGAACTTCAGGCATTTTTGAGGGTAATATTCTGGCTCAAACTGCATCCAGTTGTTTCACTTAATAGTACTTCTCTCCAGGTCAAAATTGTCTCAATTCCACCAATAATGAAACAGAGTCAGAAGTCACACGACACCAGGCTATAGTCCAACAGGTTTATTTGAAATCATAAACTTTTGGACCGTAGCCCCAGCATCAGGTGAAGTGCAGCAAAACATAGAATACATTCACATGTAACTGATAATTAATGCCTGGTGTAAATAAGCTTCTGCACCAATCGGGCATTAATTAGAAATTTGATGGAATGCATTCGACCTGTTTACATAAGTGTAGCTGCAGAAACAGTTAAGCTTCATATCATCCAGAATAAAGCTGTCCATTTGAACGGCAGCTTATCCATCACCTTTAAATAACCACATCCTCCACCAGTGACGCACAGTGCATATGGTAATCATCATCTACAGGATGCACTGCTGCAAGTTGCAATTTGCTACGGTTTCTTTGACCTACCATCTCAAACCATATCATCTCAAACATGACATCTCTGAAACCTTCCAAGTTCCTTACAACTTTCACGCCATCCTAATGTGTAATATTAGGGTCACTGGACCCGAAACGTTAACTCTTTTTTTTTCCTTCGCAGATGCTGCCAGACCTGCTGAGCTTTTCCAGCAACTTTGTTTTTGTTCCTAATGTGTAATATTGTTGTTCTGTTAGTCATTGGATCTTGGAACTCCCAACTAACAGTTATTGGTGGACTGCAATAGTTGAAAAAGCAAACTTATCACTGCTTACTGAAGGTCACTTTGGAATGGTTACTAGAGTCAGGCTTGCTAGCAATGCTGACATCCTAAAAATGATTTTTTTAAAACAAATAAAGTTTAATTTTGTAAGCTATTGATAAATTTGTGTTACTGTAAAATACAAGGGTATCCCTTGCTGAGAAAATAGCCTCTGTCCGTAGAATTCTTAACTTCAAAAAACCTTCTACACCTCCTGTATTGGTATTTTCTGTTGTAGTGGAAGTAATTTTAAATGGCTGTAGTCTCTCTTACCTTTTAGTTTCTTATTTGCTGAAGTTACCCAAGTATCATCATAGGTTCTTTGTAGAGATCAGGCATTTTTAGTCTGCTCTTACTTCACCTGGGGGTGTGGATCCAAGTGAAAGATATTATTTGCCTAAATAAAATTGTAACTCCATTTTCTGAACCTGAGGCTACCCCCTATTGCTGCCTCGGAATATGTATACAGAATTGTTTTATTTTATTTATTTCTTGAGTATGAGAATAAGTGTTCTTTTAATTTTAATTATTTTTCCACTTATTTATGGTAGGCAGTAACTGGCAGACCGGTACAAAGATCTGTGCTGCCTTGCCTGGTTACAATCTGTATTAATATTTTCTTAACAATCTGTTCAGAGGTGATTTTTTTCACAACTTGGTATGAGCGTAATATGCAGTATCCAAGTGTTCTGAAGATGCAAAGCTAGATGGGAAGGCAAATAGTGAGGAGGACATAGGCTGCAGAGAGGTATAACGGCAAGTTAACTGAGTTGGCACCAAGGTCAAAAATGAAAAACGTGCAGAAATGTGAGGTAAGAATTGAAAGGTAGACTTTTTTAAAGAAGGGCATAAAACTTTTGATCTTCATAAAATCTCAGATAAACTGTGTCAGACAAAGAATACAAAGTTTGGGTTGAAGGTGCTGCAAACAATTAGGAAGGCCAGTGGCATGTTGGCTTTTATTGCATGGGGACGGGAATACAACAGTGAAGTCTTGCAACAAGTACGCATGGCTTTGGTGAGATCACACGTAGACTACTGAGCTGTTTGGTCCCGTACCTGAAGTAGGATATACCTGTATTGAAGTCGGTATGGCAAAAGCTCATTAGATTGTGAGATGAAATAGTGTCCTAAGGTAGGAGGTTCATTAGTTGGGCTGTACTTTCTGGATGTTAAGAAAAATGGAAGGTAATTGCATGGAATCATATGAGGGGCATGGCAGGATAGACTTATGGCAGAGCATCTGGGGAATCTAGAACACAGGAGCACAGTTTCAGGGAAGGGGTCAATCATTTAGGGCTGAGAAGGAAAATAAACTTCACAAGTTGTGAATCTTTGGAAATATTGTCTTTGAGAGATTTTGGAGCTCTACATTCATGACTGGCACACCTATGCTTTTGCGGAACCATGTCACATGTGATGTGAATGGGGAAAGTGGAATTGAGAATGATCAACTGTGATTGTATTGAATGGCAGAGCAGACTTGGGGCATCATATGATTTTCTCATACTCCTTAGAGTGAGTTGCATTTCTGTGGAATTAGAGTTTTCCAAAAATTTATTTTCAGCTTGTTGTGTTATTGATTAATCTTTATTGAGCAGAAGTCTTTTTCTGAAAAAAAACAAACTCTAATGTTGAGGTGTGAAATGTTTTTCTTTCAGAAAATAAAAGTTTACATCAAATGGCCCATGAACGTCTCGGAGAGCTGTTAAGAGTGTTAAAGGTTGTAATTAACAAGCATCAGTCCTTAAATTCGGTGGACATTCTAAGTGCAACAGGAACAGTCATTTCTAAAGTAAAAGGTAATATTGAACAGTTTTTCAGTTACGTTGTAATATATAAAATGATTTAACTGAGCTGTTGAAGATACTTTTACATTGGATTTGAGTTAAATGTTTAAAATATTCCTTGTATGTACATCATTGTTGATTTAATTAAAAGCTTAATATATATTCCTGCAAATTCTAGTTGAGCTTCTGTCCATTTAACTTTTTGGGCATTAATGAATCGCAAGATTTGAGAACAGTGTGAGGAAAGCATCACTACTGAGGTAGATGATCAGACATGATCTAATTGAATGGCATATGCCTACTGTGTTCCTTCTTAGCCCTCACTCTTGTGCTCTGTATTTTGTCCTCTCACGCTACTTCCCTTGTTCACACAGACGCTCCTTCCCCTCACCTTCTCCCGTCCACGCTGCTGACTTTCAATCTGACCACCCTTCATTTTCCGCTACTTCAAGACTTTGGTGTTTGCAGATGAACTGTTATGAGAAACACAGGTAGACCAAGCCACTCTCATTTTGATGCCCATTCTTAAATCATAGATGCTTTCTTAATGTTCTCATTGTTATACAGAGACAATTTATGTGCAGCATCTACACTGGCAAATGGCTGCTCTTGTAACCTGACAAGTTGTATAGGAAATTTCTACTGTACAGTTCTATATGTAAGTCACATTTTTCAATTAAAAATCGCCAAGTGCCAGTAGATGTATGATTTTCCATACTCCATTAGACAGATGGTGATATGGTTTCTATTAATGTTGTAATGTAGTGTTGTGTGTGCCTATGCATGTGTGCGTGTTCAAAAGGACTACGGCTGAGGAAGTTAGCTAGCCAGCAGAGTAGAGCTAAAATAGCACCACCTAGTGGATTTGTGAATTACTGTAGCTATAATTGATGAGGGGCTTAAGGAATTTGCCTAATAAATGTTGAGAAAATACAAAGTTAAAATGATAATTGAAAACGACATGCACTTGTTCACTTTTTTTAAAAATTGGCTTTCAAATGAAAACAAAATACTGCAGATGTTGAAAATCTGAAAGAAACACAATGCTAGGGAAACTACGGTCTCGCAGTATCTGTGGAGCGAGAAAGTTCTGGACTCCATGTTAACTGTTTATCAGTCCACAGATGATACCAAAACTGCTGAATTTCTCCAGTATTCTCTGTTTGTTTAAAATCACTTTTTAAAAAAGATAATTGAGACTGCAATGAAAACATTGTAACTAAAGCACTAAAAAATATTGTGCTTCAAATTTTCGACTGTAATTTTGACCCTTCGATCAGGAATTGCTGTGATGTCTATATTATTTTGCTTTAAGTCAGAATAATTGCCTATTTTTTGTTTGTTAGTTTGTTTATGGAATTAACAAAGGGCCTCACTGATCCTTGAAATCCCTTTTGAGTTGCTTGACATTTCTTGCTGTCAGCAGACCCCTCCTCAGTTTCCCTGTCTTCATGCCCTCCTGCCACCATTCTGATATATCTGTGGGTGACGGTAAATTTTTCAGTCATGGTTTCCCCTTCATGAAGCCATGCTGACTATGCTTGTATTTTTAAATTCTCTGGTATCCTTTATAACTGACTCGAACATTTCCCAACAACAGACATCAAGCTAATTGGCCAATAGTTACCTGTTATTTTTCTCCTTTTTCAAAAAAAAGTGTTTCATTGGCAGTTTTCCAATCCTATGCAACTTCTTTCAGGAATCCTTAGATCATGAAAAATATTTCCAGTGTATCTACTATCCCTGTAGCTACTTCCTACAGTGTCCTAGGATGTATCCTAAGAGGTCCAGGGCTAATAGACCTTTGAACCCAATTAGTTTCCTCAGCACATTTTCTCCAGTGCTAGTTTTGCATCTCCTTTTCCCCTTTTGAATATTTAGTAGTTTTGGGATGCTATTAGTATCTTCTACTGTGTAGTATTTATTCAACTCTTTTGCAATTCCTGGTTCCACATTATTACTTCCCCAGCCTCATTTTCTAGGGATCTTATGTTCACTTTGGGGTCTCCCTTCACTTCTATATATTTAGAGAATCTCTTGCTGCCCATCTTGATATTACTTACAAGTTTGCTTCAAAGTTTAATTTCTGTCTCTTTATTATTTTTTGATTGTCTTTTGTTGTTTTTTAAAAAATGTTCCCAATTCTTTGGCTTTCCACTAATATTTGGCACTTTGTACGTTTTTTTTCAATCTGACGCTAACCTTAACTTCCAAGGTTGCATATTTGTTTCCTAGAACCCTTCTTTGTCACTGGAATATGTCTTTGCTGTGAGCCACAAACTATTTTCTTTAAAAGTTTGTCATTGTTCCTCAACAGTCTTTATTGCTAAACTCCTTCCCCAGTTCACTCCAGCCAGCTTTGCCTTTATGCGTATGTAGTTACCCTTATTTAAGTTCAGCGCTATTGATTCCAACTCATGTTTCTCCCTCTCAAACTGAATGCTAAATTATATCACTATCTGGTCACTGTTTCCAAGGGTATCATTTACTCTGACATCATTTATTAAACCTGCCTCATTGCATATTATCAGGTTCAAAATAGCCTGATCCCTGGTTGAATCCACAACACATTTGTTCTAGGAAACTGTTCAAATACAATCTGAATTTTTTTTCTTGGCTTCTTCTGTCAATCTGACTGTCCAGATCTACACAAAGAATAAAGTCACCCATGGTTAATATATAGCCTTTGTTACATACCTGGATTATTTCTTAATTTATTCTCTGTTCCACTGTATGGCTACTGTTAAAGGGACTATAAACTACTCCAAGCAGTGACATCTGTCCCTTTTAAACTTGCCTCCACCTATATGGATTCTATATTTTTCAATTCAAGATAATTTCTCGATATCGTACTTATCCCATCCTGTAGCAAAAATGCAACCCCACCATTCTTTCCTTTCTGCCTCACCTTTTGAAAGGTCACATACCCCTGAATATTTTAGTTACCAGTTTTTATCTTTGTAATCATGTCTCTGTAATGTCTATATGATTATACCCATTAACCTGTATTTGTGTGGTTAATTCATTTATTTTGTTCCAAATAATTGCACTCGAATAAAGAGCAATTAATTTTACATTTTTTACTATTATTTCTCTTTTTAGACGTCACATACTGTTGTTTTTCTGTGTTTGTCCCTTCCTCTTACACTCTGGCTATCATTATCCAAATAATGCTCTGTAATTCTATGTATAAAAAAAAAAGAACTGCAGATGCTGGAGATCTGAAACAAACAAAAGCAGAAATTACTGGAGAAATTCAGCAAGTCTGGTTGCATCTGCGGAGAGAAAACAATTAACATTTTGTGTCCAGTGACCCTTCTTCAGAACTGAAACCAACTGGGGGGAGGGGTGGGAAGTGAGCAGATGGGTAGAGATGGAGCCCAGAGAGAAGGAGATGGGGAAAATAAATGTTAGGCAGACAAAATGATTGTTGATAGTAAGCCAGGGAAGAAGAGAAGCTAGACAGGTGATAATGGGGGCTAGGAGTAAATGAAAATGTGTTGACTGTGTTGAATGTCAAGACGGGACCTGGGTGTGGCGATGGATAATAGAAATATAAGGAGGTGTTGATGTTCTAAAATTATTAAGCTCAATGTTGCATCCTGAAGGCTGTAATGCCCCCAAGCAGACTGAGGTGTTATGCTTCCAGCTTGTGTTGAACCTCACTGGAGCACTACAGCTGGCCTGATTTGGAAATGCTGACATGGGAACATGGTGGTGTGTTGAAGTGACAACAACTGGAAACTCAGGGTAATTTTTACAGGCAGAACATAGGTGTTCCACAGCGTGGTCACCCAGTCTGCATTTTGTCTTCCAAATGTAGAGGAATCCTATAATTCTGCCATAGCCTCTTCATGTGTAAGCCTACATTTTCCCCTCTCACAAGCTCACTCTCCCTGTAGTTAATTTAAAGTCCTGTTTGCGGGCTGAATCATTTGTTCCGACACAGCAGGGCCAGCATAGTTCATTGAAGCCCATCCAACCTGTATCTTGTGCAAATGCCCCACAAACTGAAAGTCATTCCACCCATGCCAATCATTATGCCACACATTGCCTTTATTTACATGCACCGAGGATGGCAAAGGCGCAAAATAGACTCTGAGTGTCGGGGGATGGAATTTCAATGACCACCACCAAAAGTGGCTTGGCAACTGCACTTCTGATCGAGCTGGTCAGGTCCTAAAGAACATAGCTGCTAGACTGAGTTTGCGGCAGATGGTGAGGGAACCAACAAGAGGGAAAAACTTAGTGGACCTCATGCTTAGCAATCTGTCGGCTGCGGATGCATCTGTCCACGACTGTATTGGTAGGAAGGATCACAGCACAGTACTTCTGGATATAAAATCCTGCCTTCACACCATTAAGAATACTCTGCATCATGTTCTGTGGCACTATCACTGTGCTAAATAGGATAGACTTCAAACAGATCTAGCAACTCAAGACTTGGCATCCATGAGGCGTTGTGGGCCATCAGCAGCAGAACTGTACTCCAACACAATCTGCAACCTCGTGACCCACATGTTCCCCCACTCCTCTTAAGCCAGAGAATCAATTCTGGTTCAATGGACAGTGCTGGAGGGCATGCTAGGAGCAGTATCAAGTGTATGCAAAAATGAGGTGTTTTGGTGAAGCTACCAAACAGCATAAACGGCAAGTGCTAGACAAAGCTAAGTGATCCGGCAACCGAAGGGTCCAATCTAAACTCTGCAGTCCTGCCACGTTCAGTCATGAATTATGATGGACAGTTTTAAAAAAAAAAAAAAAAAATCTCACTGGAGAACACTCCACAAATATCCCTGTTTTCAATTATGGGAGAACCCAACACCAATATAAAAGATAAGGCTGAAGCATTTGCAGCAATCTTCAGCCAGAAGTGCCAAGTGGATGCTCCATCTCAGCCTCCTCCAGTTATCCCCAGCATTACAGATACCAATCTTCAGTCAATTTGATTCACTCCACATGATATCAAGAAACATTTGGAGGCACTGGATGCTGGAAATGCTATGAGTCCTGACAACAGTCCAGTAAGAGTACTGAAGACATATGCTCCAGAACTTGGCACTCCCCTAGCAAAGTTGTTCCAGTACAGTTACAATACTGGTATCTGCCCAACAACGTGGAAAACTGCCCAGGTTATGTTCAGTACACAAAAAATAGGACCAATCCAACCCAGTCAATTTCCGCCCCATCAGTTTACTCTCAATCGTCAGTAAAGGTACAGAATATTTCATCAATAGCGCTATCAAGCAACACCTGCTCAGCAATAACGTGCTCAGCAATGCCCAGTTTGGGTTCCACTAGGGCCGTTCTGCTCCTGACCTCTTTACAGCCTTGGTTCAAACATGGACAAAAATGCTGAATTCCAGAGGTGAGGTGAGAATGACAGCCCTTAACTTCAAGGCTGCATTTCACCGAGTGTGGCATTAAGGACCCCGAGCAAAACTGGAATCAATGAGTGTACCCAGCACAAAGGCAGAAGGTTGTGGTTTTTGGAGGTCAGTTATGTCAGCTCCAGGACATCCCTGCAGGAGTTCCTCAGGATAGTGCCTTAGGCCCAACCATCTTCAGCTTCTTCATCAATGATCGTGTAAGTCACTATTAACTGTGTAAGTCCTGCCAGTAGTTTGTCTTGCCAAATTGTAACATCTTGTATTTATCTAAATTAAACTCCATCTGCCCATTCCTCTTCCCACTGGCCCAGTTGATCATAATCCTTTGGTACTCTGAGGTGACCTTTTTTACTGTCCACTATACCACCAACTTTGGTTTCATCCACAAACCTTACTAACCTTGCCACCCTTGCTAATCATGCCTCGTATATTCTCATCCAAATCATTTATATAAATGGCAAACAACAATGGGCCCAGCACCCATCCTTGCGGCACACCACGGGTCACAGGCCTTCGGGCTGAACAACCCTGTGCCACTACCCTCTGTCTCCCACCACCAAGCCAATTTTTTTTAATCCACGTGTCTAGCCTTCCCTGGATCCCATGTGATCTAACCTAACCAAACCGTGCCCCTATGGAACCTCATCGAAGGCCTTCCTAAAGTCCATGTAGACAACGTCTTCTGCTCTGCCTTCACCTACTTTCCTTTTCACGTCTTCAAAAAAAATCAAGTTAGCGAGACAGTTTCCTGCGCACAAAGCCATGCTGATTATCCCTAATCAGCCAAATATTTTGGCTATAACTCCAGAGGTCTGAAGTTTTGAGGTATGAAGCTGATGAAATCACATGTTCAGATATGGTGCATCAGAATGGTATGGAACATTGAACAATGTACTTGGTGTACGACTTTGCGAATTTCAAAATGAAGATTTGATTTCTTAATTCCTCTTTCTTCGTAGGAGTACTGCTTATTTTATCCTACAGTGCATTAGTAATATGACAGGCACTATTTATGCCTGAAAAAATAGAATAAAGCAAAATGAGAATAAGCTTATTTAGAACAGGGCATATTTGATGGAAGATGTTACAATTGTGATAATCAATGAACAGCTGATAATCTGTTGTACTGTAAATATATTTAAAGTAAAATTGGGTGTGGTTAGGTTTATGAAGTTGGCTGAAGATTCTTTGCTACTCAGGAAGTTGTGGGGAAGTTGCTGGAAGTCTTGTATGTTTGCTAAATATGTTTGGCAGCTGCAAAGATGTGACAACAATATTTAACCACAAATTACCATTTTCCCCAAAATTTAAACTGCAGTTTTTCAGATGTGTTACTCATATATTTCCTAGGTTAGATTGCATACAGCTGAACAAAAATTGCAGGAAATTTGCTTCTTTAAAACAAAACTTGATGAGATCAAAGTGATAAATGCAAACCTTCTTACAGAAGCCTTCCTGCAACCGGATAAAGTCACCAAGTTTACATATTCTGTGTAGTTTTTGTATTAAGATTTGTCAGTGAGGTGCTAAATGAGGATTTTGATAATAGCTTTTATGATCCAGCACAGTTCTATAATAATTATTATGGCTCATTGCACAGTAATGAAATGTCATTGAACAGTTTAGCTTCTCATGTAATTTGAGATTATTGATTATTAAACTGGATATTCAGGTAATTTGTGGCATACTTGAGTTTTATTCCAAACTTCTTACTTTGTTCTTGTGGGGTTGGTAGAAGGAAAGAACTAACCAGCTCCTTGAGAATCAAAGTCTCTATAACTGATTTTTTTTAAAAAAAGTCAGTTTGTAGAATCTGAAATCAGCGTTGTTTTGTTCTAGAACAATTGTACTGTGAAGATTGCATTATAATCCTTCAAAGGAAGTTAATTAAAGAGTACTTCTTACGCTTATTTACATTACTGTTCACCCATTAGTGTGTTCAGTGACACAGGAAACTGGTGCCTTGACAAGAATGCAGTCATAATTTCAGTATGACAGAAGTCCAAGTAGATCTTAGCATTTTACTTGTGCTTGGATGAAGAAAACTTTTGGGTGCATTTATCCATGGATTTTGTTATACTGTGTTGGTATGATTCACTTAGTGGTTCGATATTCGATTGTGTTATTCACAGACATCTAAAACTTATAGCATTTCTGTTGATGGTTTCAAGCTGAAAATGTTACAATGCTTTGTTTAATTGTTATATGTTCGATTATAGTAATGTTGATTGTTTAACCTTTTATATTCATGGAGTGAATGCTGATATTCACCTTACACTGCTGTAATGAACTACATTTCCTTTCAGGTGCAAACTACAATGAAATACATGAAGACAAAAGAGAGCATTTTAATGAAGTATTTGCTTCTATTGACACTTTGGCATTCACATTTGGCAATGTGTAAGTAACACAACTTTTGATGTGGGTTTGACTTTCCTTAAATAGCTTTTGTGTCTAATTATTGGTATTTTAGGCTAAAATATTATTAACTGCATTAATTTAGTTATATCGTTATGTCTGAAGCACTCACTGTATGTTTTGGAAAAGAATTAATTCATAGAAAAAGTATTATTGCATCAGTCTTCTCATCTAACTTGTGCTTGACAGTTGTATGTCCTGCCTTCTCTTATCTCCTACTTACATCTTTTTTCACTTCTCTCATTCTAATTCGTGCTAGGATGTAGTTCTACCAACATTAACAGCCCTTCAGTTCTTCCCAAAATATAGCATGAACTTCTGTCAATTTCAACAGGCTGTTCAACTATTGTAGCCAAGCCCCATCCTGTTCTCAACCAACATCTGCATGTGAGAGTACTTAACAGCTAGTTACTGGTTAGCAAACAGGCGTGCAAAGACGAACTAATTTTTTTTAGCCAATTGTAGTAGCCTAATTACTGAGGATAAGGTCTCAAATTAATTCAACACAACTACAATATATAGCTGGAGCTTTCTGGCCTATAAGAATTAAAGCTGTCTTTAATGCTTTTTTCTAGTACATTCTTACAGCAGCTACATTTATATATTTATTGTTTTAATTCGTGTTTTGTAAGAGGGTTTTGACTTGGGAATGGCAATTGACCATCAGGTGAAATTGTTGCTCCAGTGTTAAAGATTATATTTTTGCACACTTTTTTCCTAGGGTTACTAGTACTTTTAGGTACTATTTTTGAGCTACAGTGTGAGAACAATTAAAAATATTGAATTTCTTGTCTTTCATGTAAAGCACAATTTGCACTTTTGAATAATAAAGCCAATGAACTTCTAAGGGGAAAGGCTTTTTTCTTGGGAAGAACATCCTGTGTTTCATTTTGATTTAAATATGCATTTTGTTACTGCCCATTTAAAGTTGTTGATTTACAATATCCTGTTTATGTCTGAAAATTTTCAACATCTTCAAGAAACAAATCCTCTGCTAGCTTAAAGTGGTCAGAACATAAGCAATCTACTTTTAAAATTTCCAGTTACTGAAAAAAAAAAGCATTCTGTTTTGGTAAATATATCTGTTTCCAAAAGTAATCTCTGGTCTGCCATTGTTCCGCTTTCTGTATTGTGTTAATGTCATTTGTTTACTTAATATTGTGCTATTCTTAGTGTTTACAAAATTATCTACCAGTTATCCGTCTTCCCTTGATATCACATTGAATAAGATTCGCTTTGAATCTTGTTCACTGTTTTGTCACATTTTGTTTGTTGTGCAAATACCTCTGTTCTTTACTTTAACTCTTTCTGCAAGTACTTAGAGAATGAGGCTGGGGCAATAATAGTGGGGAATAAGGAAATGGATGAGGAATTGACTAAATGTCTTGCATCAGGCTTCAAGGCTAAAGACATTAATAGCGTTCTAAAAATACTAAATAATAAAGGAGCAAAATGAGAGAGGAAACAAATCAAATAACTACCACTAGAGAAAATATACTAGGGAAGCTAATGGGGCTAGAGTCTGATAGGCCCCCGGACCTGATGGAATGCATCCTAGAATACCAAAATAAGTAACTGCAGACATAATTTTCCAAGAATTCTTCGATAAATCTCAAAGGATTGGAAAAATACCAGTGTAATGCACTTTTTCAAAAAGGGAGGGTAACAATAGGTCAGTTGGTGTAACATCTATCATTGGAAAAATGTTACTGTCCATTGTGAAGAATGTAATAGCACCGTATTTAGAAATATGCAGTTAAATCAAGGAGAATCAACATGGCTTCATGAAGCAGCAATCATGCCAGACAAATTTGTTTGAATCCTTTGTGGAACTTAACATAAGAAATAAGTGCAGGAGTAGGCCATTCAGCACCTCAAGCTTGCCCCATCATTCTATAAGCTCATGCTGATCTGCCCCAGGTCTCAACTCTTTCTTTAAAATGTCCCAGCTCAGCATAGCTCTCAACTTGATGTTTCAAAAAATCTATTTATGCCCTCTAAATACTTTCAGTGATCTAATCTCCATAACTCATTCTTGGGGATAGAGAATTCCAGATATTCAGTATCGTTCAGGAGGAAAAAATTCGTTTGTCCCATTATTCTGTAACAATAACCCAAGTTCAAGATTCTCCCATTAGTGGGAAAAGCATATCAACCTGTCAAGACTCCTCAGAATCTTGTATGTTTTAATAAAATCATTCCTTATTCTCCTAAACTCATGAGGTAACAAGGAGGATAGATGAAGGGGTACCAGTAGATGTAATATATTTGAGATTTCCAAACAGTGTTTGAGGTGACGGTCTTTTGGTATTATCACTTTGACTATTAATCCAGAGATCCAAGTAATGTTCTGGTGACTTAGGTTCAAATCCCATCCTTGCAGATGGTAAAATTTAAATTCAATAATAATCTGGAAGTAACAGTCTAATGATAACCATGAAACCATTGTAACTTTGGGAAAAGCCTATCTCGTTCACTAATGTCCTTTAAGGGAAGAAAACTGCTGACTTTCCCTAGTCTGGCCTTCATATGACTCCAGAACCACATTAGCACTTAACTGCCCTCTGATCAATTAGTGATAGGTAATAAGTGCTGGCCTAGCCAGTGAAATCCACATTCCATAAATGAATTTTATTTTAAAAAAGATATTACACCTAAGGCTGCTTAATAAGTTAAGAGTCCGAAGTGTTGGAGCTAGTATATTAGCATGGATAGAGGATTGGTTAATTAATAGAAGATGGAGTTGAGATAAGGGGGACATTTTCAATTTGATTTGATTTATTTATTCATTCACAGGATGTAGGTGTCACTGGTGAGGGTAGCTTTTATTGTCTATCCCTAATTGCCCAGATGGCAGTTAAGAGTCCCCCGTATTGCTGTGGGTCTTGAGTTACATGTAGACCAGACCAGACCAGACCAGGTATGGACAGTAGATTTCCTTCTCTATTAATGAACGAAATGGGGTTTTCCAATAATCAGCAATGGCTTTGTGGCCAACATTAGACTCTTAACTCCAGATTTTTTTTATTGAATTCAAATTCCATTTCAAATTTGATGAGGGAAGTAGGTGTTTTATTGGTAATTTGCAGATGACACAAAACTAAGTAGGAAAGCCTCCAAAGTAAATGTAAGTTGGCAAAAACTTTGATGATAGAATATAATGTCTGAACGCGAGTTTCTGCACTTTCATAAAAAGAATAGAGGACCTGAATAATAAGTGGAGAAAGGCTACAGAAAGCTGCAGCACAGAGGGTTTTGACAGTACTTGTGCATGAATCACAAAAATCTATCATCCAAGTTTAGAGGGTAATAGGGAAGACAAATGGTCTGTTGATCTTTTGCAAAGGAAATGTAATGCCAAATGCATGATGAGTCTTGCAGAAACTGCACAAGGCACTAGTCATACCACACCTAGAATACTGTGAATAGTTTTGATCCGCTTTCTTAAAAAATGATATACTGACATTGGAAGCACTCCAGAGAAGGTTCACTTGATTGATTCTGGGTATGGAGGGATTTTCTTATGGGGAGAGGTTGAATAGCTTGGATTTGTATATATTGTCATTTAGAAGAAAATACATATAATATGCCCCTATAATATATGGTTTGACAGGATAGATGCATAGAGGTTTTCTGTTGTTGGAAAGTCTAAAACAGAGGGGTATAATTTCAGAGACCGAGATGAGGAATTTCTGCTCTGTGGTAGCGAATCTTTGGAACTTGTTACCGTAGAGACTGGGTTGTTGAGTAAATTCAAGGCTGAGATAGAAAGAATTTTTTAAGTGGTAAGAGTATCAAATTAGAGTTGAGGATTATAGGATCATGCACAATCTGATTGTCGGAGCGGACTCAATAACAAAAGGGCCTACATCAGCCCCTATGTCTTGTACATTGGAGAAAATAGGTTTATGATTGTACAGATTTTTACAATGTTTGCTCTTTGTTTATCAAAAATCTATGGTTATCCCAGTAGGCAGGAATGTGGTGTTGAGGCCACAGTCCGACAAGCCATGATCTTTTGAATGGCAGAGCAGGCTACATAGGTCGAATAGCCTACACCGAATCCTAATTCTGATGTTTCTGGTCAATGGTGATCCCAGAACTATTAAATATCAAAAGGAGACTGTTAGAATATTGTTGGACATGACCTTTTAACAGGCACTTATGCAGTGTGATTGTACTTGCTTTTTATTAGTCAAGTCAGAATGTTGTCCATGTATTTTATATGGATGGACTAGTTGAGTATCTGACGGGTCATAAAAGGTACAAAAGATTTGTGCAATTATCACAAAATTCTTATTTCTGACCTTACAATGGGGGTGAATGTCATCGTTGAACATGTGAGTTAGAAGGAGGAGTAAGCCACTTGGTCCTTTGAGCCTGTTCAGCTATTCAGTAAGATCATAAATCATCTGGTTACTCCACATTCCCATCAACCTCGGTAACCTTTTGCCTCTTGCTTATCAAGAATCTGTATGCCTCTGAAGCTGAGCTGGACGATACTTCTGAAGAACTCCTGCAGCATTGATTCCAACCAGTGGAGTGCTTCCCTCCTGATTTCAAATGACTTCAGTTTTGTTAGGGCTCCTAGGTGCCACATTTGGACAAACGCTGCCTTGATGACAAGGGCAGTTACTCTTGCCTCAACTTGTGTGTTTGAAAGTAACGTTAATGCTGAACAGTTTAGCTAGGAATACAGATGTAGTAAGGGTGCTGCATAAAAATATAAAGGACTATGGAAGTTTTGAGTCACATGCATTGGTGTACTGTTTACCAAGTTGCATACATAGAGTTTTTCAGAAGAAATGAAAAAATTAGCAAGTCAGTTTGAAGAAATATTAAGAGTGTAACTAAAGATGTAAATATTTTAATCAAACAATTTGTCTTGCAGCATTTCAGACTTCCTCATGGGAGATGTAGACTATGGTTCATCTTTGGGACTTCCATTGAATGGGCGAAGCCGTGTAAGTTCACAGAATAATTACGCTAGTAGTATTTTGACATGTTTATAGGATGATAGAAGCTTAAAATGTCAACGGTGGCCACTTGATCCTGCATGCCTTTATTTGAAAGAGCTACCAAATTAGCCTA